CCTTACGGCACGTAACACTTATGGCACGTACCCTAAACTTACGGCACATATACCTTACGGCACGTAACAGCACATTAATTAAGCCAGAATACAACAAAGTATGTAGATTTCCCTGCTCAGTCACACCTGCTAAACCCGGTAATTATCTGAGTTAGAGGTGTGTTTGGGCAGGGAAATTGGCAAACTGTGTTGGATTCTGACCCTCCAGGACTGGAATTGGGGAACCCTGCCTTAAGGCATAAAAAAAACGAAAACAGTTATTTGATTAATTGTTTGGTTATTACCTTGATTTGTAGTCAGTCTCTTCAAGAGTCCTGCCATATTGCCCCCTGATATAACACCCAGATTTCAGCATTAATGGCCTCTTCTCCTTGTTCCATGCAGCCAAGACTGGGTTCATACATATAAAGTGCAGCTGAGCAATGACTCCCTCCGGTGGACGGCCTGCATGAATGGGACAGACGAGGCTGTGAGTTCCTCTGATTTAGCAGGAGCCCTCAGGTCCAAGTCACTAATCTGATGTATTATCCATCATTTCTTGTCGTCATTTCCCTGTCACATGCTCATTATTTATGATTTTATCTTGGTATATAAGATTTTCCTATAAACTTCAAGATCCTTTCTTGTTTCACCCCCTATTTATTGCATATTGGTAATTCTTATGTTATACTGCTGTCTGCCCTATATTTCACTGCTGTCTGTGCTGTCTTGCACTGCTGTCTGTGCTGTCTTGCACTGTTTTGTCCTGTATTGCACTGCTGTCTGTCCTGTGTTACACTGCTGTTTGTCCTGTCTTGCACTGCTGTCTGTGCTGTCTTGCACTGTCTTGTCCTGTATTGCACTGCTGTCTGTCCTGTATTGCACTGCTGTCTGTGCTGTATTGCACTACTGTTTGTCCTGAATTGCACTACAGTTGTCCTATTGTCCCCCATGCACCTGTCCCCTCCCCTGCAACTGTGGCATAAGCACTTGTCACATGTGTTCCTAGAAACACATGTGACAATAGATCTTGAAACCTGAAAATAAGAGAGAAACATATATTTGGGGTAAATCAGGTAATTGCAGGCACTACTATAGATCGTCCAAACAAAAAACAGCTGCTCAGTTAGTAGAGTTCCCTGTTTCCTGGATCTTGGGTCTCTCTCCTTTTTAGAGTTGTAGTACAAGGTAGCAGGCACCACACAGATTATGAAACTAGACTTGCTCCAGGATCCCACCTTCTATTAGTGTCCTAGAGCAAGGAAATTCATATGAGAGCATTTTAATAAAGGTAAGCAGGTCGTAAGTAACATGTATAATCTAAGTCAATAAAATACTGAAATTTTGGAGGTTGGATATTGGTGATATCAGCTTTCTTTGTGTCTTTTGAGCATAAGACTGATCTTTTACAGGTCTTTGAAGGTAACCAGGATTCAGAGACGCCCGTGCTGGCCCTGCTCCCTGTGCCAACGGTAGCCCGCTATCTCCGCATCAACCCCCAAAGCTGGTTCATCAATGGCACCATATGCCTGCGGGCTGAAGTACTGGGCTGCTCCCTGCCAGGTACCGGCCCTGTCTCCCAGTGTACCATTTATATACCTTATATGCAACTTTATGTGTGCTGCTGTCAAAAAAAGGGTACAGACCTGGTACAGTTTTATTCCCCAAGGTACAAACAACGTTAATGTACCTGCAATGGTACAAAAATGTTCCTTGGAGTCCATTTCTGTACCTTAGATTAAAAGATACATTTACCTACATCTAAGGTACAATTGGCAGACCCTTGGGGGTACAGCACCAATGACAAGTTATTATAAAGATGCTTCTCACTTAACGACCTACCTGTTTACCAACCGCCCGGACCTACGACCAGCTGTTGGACCAGTCGGTATTGTATGCTGTACGTGGTGTTTCTATTCTATTCTGTTTGTTCTGCTCTCTTATGTGGGTTGGCGAAGGAAAGCTGTATATAGTTGGCAGCAATTGACCTTTATTTTAATATGCCATATCAGTTTACACTGAACTTGTGATTGACACTTATTTCGATCCGTTGCCTTTAGTTTGATGCATATGCTTTGTATTGTGGGACAGAGAACTTCCAGGAGCGCATCAAGCACTGATGTACACAAAGTTTCTTGTGTCTTACACTTTTTTTGAAAAGCAATGACTATAAGTTTTTTACTTGTTTCATATCTTAGCTAATATATTCAAGTGACTTATTTTCTATGCTCTGTTTTAGCTCAGTAACGTGCAAAAGGATAATAACGGTGATTCATTGGATGCTAATTTGCGATACATGCCGATATACACTCACCTAAAGGATTATTAGGAACACCATACTAATACGGTGTTTGACCCCCTTTCGCC